CTGAAGTCCCTTTTGTCTTCCCTCCTCTGGTTCTATATGTTTAGGGAGTTGCATTATACTCCTCTACATTTTTGAATCAAGTATCAGTGTTATTTTTTGCCAAATGTGTATGTACATGTGATATTTTCTGAAAATGGATATTGCAAAATATTCTTTAATATATAAAAATGGACATTTTTGTTATGTTGAAAAATTATTCTGGGATTGTAATAATAACCTGATGAGCAGAAAATTCTGAACATTGATACTGAAAAATGGTCCCCCCCCCTGGAAAATTGCAACTGACCATTTTTTTATTGGGGGATTATTTTTTTCTAACCAATTTAAGCTAATACAATAGTTTTTAGAGAAAATTTCATTTTTTTAAATAAAATCCTAGAATTGTTAGAGGTTTTCAGATTAAACTGTAGCTACTGCTGTTTTCTTGATTAAATTTTGGGCAGTTGTTTCTCGACATAACTTCCTGCCATCTCAACTATAAATTTAAAAGAAATTGTCATTAAAAATCCAGGAATTTCTAAGTACAGAGGAGGGTGGCAGGCATATGAAGTGTCTGCAAGAGAAAGCACACCACTGCTAATTATTTATAGCTGTTCCTTTTGTGTTTGAATCATATAGTGACTTAAGCTTATCCCACAACACTGTTACACCACAATTGCATTACATTAGTCCTATTTTAGTCCTATCTCTTATTGAATGATACCATGACTCTCCTGATAGTGCACTGTGCTATACTGCTTTTGGATCATTTGGAAATTCATTATTTTCCTCTTTGAAAAAAAAAATCCATTAAAGAATCTCTATGCCACTGTGGGTTAGTAAATACTTTGGGTAGGAATGTCTCATTCTGCTTTGTTGCAGTGTTGTTGCATGCCTTCAAGTCATTTCCAACTTATGGTGATTCTAAGGTGAACCTATCATGGGGTTTTCTTAGCAAGATTTGTTTAGAAAGGGGTTGCCTTTGAATTTTTCTGAGGCTGAGAGAATGTGACTTGTCCAAGGTCACCCAGTGGGCTTCCACAGCCAAGTGGATATTCAAACCCTAGTCTCCAGAGTCATAATCCAATATTCAAACCACTACATCAAACCACTACATCTCAGTTGCAATATTGGGCACATAATGGGTGGTGTGGATGTGGTCCATTCCTTTACCCAGGCTGTAAATTCAACCTGAAGTGGGAAGCCCTTGGCCCTTGATATAATTTCAAAAGCCTTCCAGAAGTGATTAGTTTAAACCTCTGGCAAAAATGATACATCCCTCTCTTGTAAATCTTCTAGACAGGAAGGGAGATAAAGATACCCCCACCTATCCACCTCTGGCTTTGGTACCACTTTCAGCTGACATGTACAAACTGACATTATCCTGGAGGACATGAGACTTCCAAATAGTGAAATGGTTACTTGACCCCCCCAATTTAATCTATTAGATTCCATAGTCTTTTCTCATCATGATGATCTACATCATGCATGCCAAATACCACAAACTAATGTGATAAATGCATTTGAACATCTCCCTATGACCTCAGAACATCCACCATACAAATAATGGTTCTCTATTTCTCTCTCAAGTTCTGGCTGACTTTTATCTGGTTTTGAAAGAGAGATTATCATAAATGATAATAGCCTTTTATTTTTTCTTTTGTTTTATTCATTCACAAAGTTTAAGAAATAACACCACCAAAATGTTCCCATACATCAAAAGGACTGGCCAAAAGAGACACACTGTTGAGAAGGGCTGAGACATGTGATCCTGGAGGTTGAACAGCCATTCAACTGTTATGCAGGGTCACAGAATAATGCAAAATTAAGTGATACTAACTGTACCTGTGTCTGAATGGCTCTTTACTATTCAGATTTGGCAGATATATATTTTTAGCCAGGGCAATAGTTCCGGCCTTTCGAACCAAAAATCTAGTAATACAAGTCCATACTACTCATCTTTTTTGTTGATTATACTTGCTGCCTCTGAAAGAAATGCAATCAAAATTTTGCAATTGGTGGCTCTTAAATCTCTCCTAAAGAATTTAATAATGACACTTCAGGGCTGAGAAATAATAATAATAATAATAATAATAATAATTAATAATAATAATAATAATAATAATAAATTATGTTTGTAAGCATCCTAATTTCAGCTTCAGTTGAAAAACAGAACCTGGACATCCCAGGGCATGAAAATCATATATTTAAAAGGTGGCCAGGCCTCTCACATCAGGGATACAAATCTTTGAGTATTTCATCATGACATGAAGAGATGGATAATTACAGTAGTTTTCGCTGTTGCAGGAGAAAAACCATCATTCCTCCCAAATATTCTCCACATATTTGTACATCCCAAAATGTTTCAGAGGACTTATTGTGCAGTGGGAAAAGCAGGATTGAAGAAAAAACTGTTTTCTATACAGGAAAACTGTTTTGTGTGCAGAAAAAGCCCTATGTGCTTTTCTATGCAAAACAATTCACCTGCAGCACTTTGAGATTATTTTTTTTAATACAGGAAGAAAATAGTGCATGAGTCTAATTGGTTTATTATTCTTTCTGATGTGGTTTCCCAACTGTTAGGAACCATGGCTGGAATCCTGTTGGGGAATTTCATCTTCATAAATGGACTTTCATCTACAGGAATTAGGACTGGGCAGTTCTATAACATCTGCATCCATCAGAAGGTTGTTGTTAACATTACTATGTAGCAGAACCAGCAAAGTTACTGTTACTCAATGGGACTGATGCACAATACGATGCACATCACAGTGGCCCCAATGTCTACTTACAAGATACAAAGAAACCTTCACCCTTTGCTCATCAGTCCAAGTGCACATCAAGTACCAATGCATGTCAGGCATTGATGATACCCTGTTAATGCCCTGGTGGTACAGTGGCACTGTAGCCACTCACTCACTCACAAACTACAAGGTTGTGAGTTCAGTACCAACCAGGGGCTCAGGCTTGACTCAGCCTGGCATCTTCTGTAAGTTGTTAAAATGAGTACCCACCTTGTTGGGGTCAATTGGCTTACACATTGTAAACCACTTAGGGAGTGCTTAAGTGCACTGATGAGTAGTATAGAAAAGTACTTGCTATTGCTATGCATCTTTGCAATTCACTAACAGAGTTTCTTAGCATCTTTGGTACATAGCTAAGAATATTTAAAGTCATGTAACATAGATGGTGATATAGGATTCCAGTACTTTTTTTTTTTTTTTTTACCCTGGGAATGAATAATGATGAATATTCTTTCCATCCCTACACACCATCACAATTACTTAGGAGAGCACAAATCCATGGTATCATTTAGTAAATGATATCATCCTAAATGGTCATAATTTGACAAAAGTATTTGAGTGTACGCACTAAATCAGTGTATGCACACCTATTCTTCCAGTGTATCCAGACAACAATTCCCATGAGCTCTTACACATTAGCTGCACCGATTTTAGTTTCTGGAAGATGGAGTTAAAACAATCGGGAGGGCTGGTGATTCTCCAGCATGTCTTAAATGTGCCTTGCAACATGTAAATTTAAAATGGACTGAAGCTGCCTGTTTAAAGTGGCCTTTTTTTCTCTTCCATAACATTATAGTCTTTGTCATCTGGTGAAGCCCATTAGAAAGATGAGTATGATTTAGGCTGCAATCCTATGCAAACTTACATGTAACTAAGGGTGCATCTACACTGTAGAAATAATGCAGTTTGCACCACTTTAAATGCTGTAGCTCCATCCTATGGAATCTTGGTGTTTGTAATTTTACAAGGTCTTTAGCCTTCTCTGCAAAAGAATTCTGGTGCCTCGCCAAACTACAAATTCCAAGATTTCCTAGGAGCCATGGCAGTTAAAGTGGTACAATGCATTATTTCTACAGTGTAGATGCATCCTTAGTTACATGTAAGATTGTATAGGATTATTTTTACAGTGTAGATGCACCCTTACTCCCAGCCTATCACCAGCAGTCCATTCCCCCCCCCTCCAAGTTCTGGTTGAAAGCAAGCAATTTTCATTGGCCTGCTGCACTGTTGATGTTGATATCTATCATTAAATGTTGCAGTCAGTCCCTCTGATGGCTTGATTCTCATAGACAATGAGAAAACAGAAGCAGAAACTGGATGCTTATATGAGGATCTATATCTACTCTTGTAAAATCTTTCAGGGTTTTCTAATGAGCTCTTTCCCTTTAATCCAGATACAACTATGTGCCCTTGAATCTTACTGAATGTTATCTATACCCACCCCCACTATCTACTTGCAATATACAAAGAAACCTTCAGCCTTTGCTGACAAGTTTTCATTTGTCCAATGAATGGTTTGAGAGTTCCTGGTCCAGAAATATCTGAACTTTGATTGTACATTGATATGTACAGGCATTTACCATATACGCTTATGATTTAACAGAAATATTCAGAGTTTGTGGCACCACAAAGAAAAATGATTTATTAAGGTATGTGTTTACTTGGATTGGAGGCCACTTCCTCAAATTGTTAACAGGGGATCTAAATGTCCATGAAATTTTAGAAATCCAATTTATTACAATCCTATATTAAATTTAAATGTACACTTAGTACACATGAAGACCATTTGCAGTGACAGTACTGGTAAATGGTCACTGTACCCATTTTGCATATACCTAGGCTTTACATCAGGGACAGGTAAGCTCTGGCCCAAGGACATTTTACATTTGCATTAAGAAGTTGATTTCAAGTGATTTTTATTTTTTTGGTGGCTTAGGAAAAATGAGGCTTCATACTTATAAAGATTGGGAAATCATTTGGTTAAACAGAGCACAATTCATCTCAATTATTTCTTCCTAGCCAATCAATTTAAAAAGTACACATACACACACACACATTTGTTGTTGTGTGCCTTCAAGTCATTTCTGACTTATGGTGACTCTAAGACAAACCTATCATGGGTTTTTCTTGACAAAATTTGTTTAGAGGAGGTTTGCCATTGCCTTCCCTTGAGAATGAGACCATGTGACTTGCCCAAGACCAACTAGTGAATTTCATGGCCAACCTGGGAATCAAACCCTGGTCTCCAGAGTTGCAATCCAACACTCAAACCACTATGTCACGCTGTCTCTCTTATCTATCTATCCTATTTTTTCTTGTTAAATATGCAGCCAACTACATATTTGGCTGTAGGACTGTAGGACTGGACGACAAGTCTAACACTGTGTCAGAAAAGAAGTATTGACTAATGGAATAAAACATCCAACAGAATATTTAATTATCAACTTCAAATGCTTATTTATTTATTTTTAAGCCAGTCTCACCCCTGGAATCTTAGCCTTGGATATAAGTTAAATTGTAAAATGCCACCATGGTTTAATTCTGAGGCAACTTGAATTGTTCAAACTTTATTTTTAGCTTCTTTTAGTGAATAAACATTATGTAGGATATGCCTGCCATCTTGGGATGACCCATGCACCATGGTAGCCATGGTTCTGAAGGCATGAATGCTTGCCTTCACATGGTATAATCAGTTGTGTTGACAGAGTCTACAACTGTCATTTACACTGCCAGACTCTACACATGCTTTGAAGGATAGGCTAAAGGGTATGATAAAATGTCACTTCTGGGATTTTTTGGGGGGGAGGGCAGTGAGGGGAGCTTCTCTAGGACATAAAACATGGCAGGAAGAGGATAAAAATATGATTTAATTGTCGTTTTATCTCTTAGGGTCAGCATGCATATAGGGTAGCACATGGTGGGACTGGACACTTCTGAGGCCCCTGGGATTTGTATGTGGCCCATGGGCCACATTTTATCCACCCCTGCCTTAAGTGAACTAGTTCTGAAATTAAATTATTATCAAAATTTATTCTCAATTTTTTCATTGCCAGATGGTTATGTTAAATAGTCTCAGGATATTCTTAGAGTGTTTGGATAATCTTAGCTATCATTGGATATTGGTGCTTGCTTTTTTGCACTAAATGATTCTTGATATTTAGTTTGATATCTGGCACTTGATATTTTGCAGTTTTTAAATAGCTGAAATGCTATGGTGACTGATAGCTGACTTATTGTTGTGTGCTTTAAAGTAGTTTCTGACTTATTCTTTCTTGGCCGTATTAGTTCAGAGGGGTTGCCTTTGTCTTCCTCTGAGGGTCTGAGATATTGTGACTTGCCCAAGGTCTCCCAGTTCTGTCACCCAGTGAGTTTCCATGGCTGAATGGGAAATCCACTGGTTCTCCAGTCATAATCCAGTGCTCAAACCATAAATGAAAAGATATCACTCCCCCCCCCCCCCCCCCATGAATTCATCTTCTGTGAGCACCCTTCATCCTTTCCACATTGCTTCTGTGTAAAATATCAGCATTTGCAGTGGATTCTATGCTGCGTTCTTGTGCGTACCCTCATTATGACCTCAAGGCATTTCCTGGTGGCATATCACAGAATTTTATATCAATATGTGAGAGTTGGCCTCTGTCAAGGCCAATCTGCATAACATCTCCATTCTCCATCTTATTGATAGGGAGCAGAAACAGTAATAGCAGACAGGCATGACCTAGAAGGAGTACTGTGCACTATTCTGGATGCTGCACTTCAACAGAGACATTTTAGATCTGGAGAAAGAGGCAGGAAAGGACATGGTCAGGGAGTTGCGACAACTCCCATGTGAGGAATTTCCCCTATAAGGAAAGGTTACAATGCTTCAGTTTTGGATTTTTAGTACAGAAAAAGAAAAGAAAAACAGAAGTGTATAGAAATAATAATAATAATAATAATAATAATAATAATAATAATAATAATAATAATAATAAATTAATATCCCTCCTCTCTGTAAAATACAACCAAGGCAGCTTAAAAGACATCCCATCCTCCACCAGCCCACCCCCCCTAAAATACAATTAAACAAACAAAATATAAAAACATACTTTAAAATTACAAAAACAAATAATTTAAAATAGCTACAATGAAAATCAGGGACAGGCATAACTCTTTTCAGTGGCCGGTCACCTACTTAGGAAAGGCTTGCCAAAAGAGTTCCATCTTAACAGTTTTTTTTAAAAGCTGTTTAAAGTGGTCAAGTGATGGATCTCATCCAGCAGGCTGTTCCATAATCTGGGAGCAATAGCCAAAAAGGTCCTTTGGGCAGTTGCAGATAATCTAATTTTTATAGTTTGCAGTAATTTTTTCCCCAGAGGACTAGAGTGTACGGGGTGGATTATACCGGAAGGAGGCGGTCTCAAAGATAGATTGGACCCAAGCCATTTAGGGCTTTAAAGGTCATAACCAACACCTTGTACTGCACCTCGAAACTGATAGGCAGCCAGTGAAGCGATTTTAGAATAGGTGTTATATGGTCTCTTCTGGTTTTACCTGAGACTAACCTGGCTGCCATATTCTGTACCAATTGAAGTTTCCAAACTAGGCACAAGGGTAGCCCCATGTAGAGTGCATTGCAGAAATTGAGACAAGAGGTTTTCAGTGCATGTACCACAGTTTCGAGGTCTCTGACCTCCAGGAATGGGCACAGTTGGCGTATCAGTCGAAGCTGATAGCATGCACTCCTGAACACCGCATTCACCTGATTTGTCATCTGAAGCGACAGATCTAGGGGCACCCCCAGACTGTGAACACATTCCTTTGAGAAGAGTGTGACCCCATCTAGGACTGGAAATTGTGTCCCTATACCTGGGATTGGGGCCAAAACTGTTAGTTCCTTCATTTTGTCTGGATTCAGTTTCAATCTGTTTTTCCTCATCCACTCCATTACCGCTTTAAGACATTCATTGAGAGGGGAGATGCCATCTGAAGTTAAAGCTGTAGACCTAGACATGGAGAAATATATCTGGGTGTCATCACTGTACTGATAACACCCCACCCCATGTCTCTGGATGATCTCTCCCAGAGGCTTCATATATATGTTGTATAGCATCAGTGACAGGATGGCACCCTGAGAGCCATCTTTTAAGCTTCTTTTTTGCTGAGCAATGGTCCCTGAGCATCACCCTCTGGAATCTCCCTGAGAGAAAGGAACGGAACCATTGCAATGCAATGCCTCTGATTCCTAATTTTCTCAGGTGTTCCAACAGGATGTCCAGTAGCACCAACAGGGTCACACTGCCCCTGTCGATGCCCAGATGGAGGTCATCAGTTAAGGCAACCATGGCACTCTCCACTCCATAGTTTTGGGTCCCCAAAACTACGGCTCCATAGTTTTGGGTCCCCAAAACTACGGCTCACGGGCTGGACCTGTCCTGCCAAGGCCTTCCTACTGGCCTGCTGCCGCCACCACTCGTGCCTGCTGCCAGATGCCATTTTGTCTTCCAAAATGGCATCCAGACTCGTGCACATGCTTCTGGCATTGCATGCACATGCACGCGACTCCGGATGCCATTTTGGAAGACAAAATGGAGCTCGCCATCGTGCACACATGCACATTACTCGGGTGCCATTTTGTCTTCCAAAATGGCACTTGGACTCATGCACATGCGCGTGCACACATGCACATGCGCCTCCAGCCCCACAGAATATCAGGGGAACCCCTGCCATAGCCTGTCCTAAAGCCAGTTTGAAATGGATTCAGATAATTGGTTTCCTCCAAGACAGCTTGGAGCAACAGCAACATATATCTCAAAAATACTAGAACTTGTGAAGTGGGTAGGGAATCTTCACTCACTACAGCAGAATTATAAGAGATACATGGCTGTTATTGTTTTAAAATACTTCTTTGTATAGAGAAATGTACTATCATAATGCATAGTCATGGCTTCCAGCTCGAATAGTTTTAACAGGGGAACAGACATATTCATGGCTCTGAAGGGCTACTGGTCAGGGATTGCTTTTATTTTTAAATTTCATTAGCCAACTCATTCACAAAAATGACCATTTCATTTGCCAAATGGCAATTTGGTCTTCAAACTCAGTCATGAGTACAACATCCAAACTCAAACCTTAATTACTTAAACAGAAATCCAATAAGTCTTTGCAAAAATGCTATCAGTGGAGTGACCTCCCCCTGCACTACTAGTGTAATAATATTTGTCAAAGGCTGTTTATACCAGTTGTATATACAATTTACTAGGGAGAGAGTTGTTGTGTGCAGATCCTGCTTATGTGATTTCCAGAGGTATCTGGTTGTCTACTGATGCCAGATTGGGTAGGCATTTGATCAGATGAAGCAGGATGCTTCTTATGTTGTTTTTTCCCCTAGTGGGGATGGCTTAATTGATCCATCAGTCAATCAGTTTTGCAGGATGAAGGGCTTTTGGTGTGAGCAGGCATTTGCCAAATAAACTATATATTGTTTTTATAATATGGACAATATCTGTTGGCCGAATTGCTGGAGAGTGACATAAAGCTATATCACAATACTTTGTCAATATATTTACATTAGAGTAGGTGTACCATTGGTCTGTGTCATAAAGTGGAGATGGCTTGAAGCTCCAATGGGCACAGCCAGAGCTTGGGGCTTTTCTGTAGTGCTTTTCCCAGTCTGTCACACAGTAGAATCAGTGAAAGACCATCAGATATACATGCATAATCTATAGGTCCATTCAGATAAATATGGACAATCTATATGCCCATCCAGTCCAGGGCTATCTCTCAGCTGACTGTTCGTCTAATAGAGAGGGATGATGTCTACATTAGTTTCAATGGCCTTATCTCCATTTTAGGTGTTTTCACAATTACATCTATGAGCTTTTCTCTTGAATTATTCTGTTTAGATGCCCTTGGAGCTTGCTTCTCCCTGACTCACTTGCCCACAGCACCTTACCATAAGCATTTTAATCCTTCCTAAAATAGTTTTAAGGTTCTACTTAGGGAAAGGTGATAATTTCATTACAATTTATTTTTGGAAGAATTTTAACAATATTCACAAAATTCAGATTCTTCCCCCCCCTCCCAGATTTTGGAATATTTGCTTGCACGTAATGAAATACGTGCAAGATACGTAATGAGATACGTAATGAGATATGTGCAAAAATTATTATTATTATACCTCGGAGATGGAATTCAAGTCTAAACATGAAATTAATTTATGTTTATGTTTCATATACACATTATACACATAGACAGAAGATAATTCTATGCACAATATTTTTAATAATTTTGTGTATGAAACAAAGTT